GTTGGTTTGGGTTTGGGTTTAGGTTAGTTAGTAACTAACTACTACTATATATATATATATATATATATATATATATATATATATATAGAGGAAGCATTTATAAAATGCCTATAGGTAGAGTTCTACAGTACTTCACCTACACTTCATCATCGTTCAAAGTTCATCCCACGGTAACAATTGTCCTGTAGTATTTGAATTTTATAATTATTGTACTAATCAGATTTATTTAAAATTTGGGACGTTTGTACATATGGCCAAGTCGCTCCAAAATAAAATATTAAAAAAAATAATAGCCATAAAATAAAATTATGAAATTACCTCTGAAATATTATAGGGGTATTTTGCATAACGTTTATCATTCAAATTATTTTTTTTATATTTTATTCATGTGCATCTCACTAAGACGCACACACTAAATAATTTTAGATAATTATGAGTTGTAAATAAAATATTAAAATTCAAACACTATCAGACATCTGTGATCATGTGATAAACTTTGAACGGTCAGGAGTGAGTCCGAAAACTTATTGTGTCTCGTATCTCTTAGGCATACGAGCACTGAAGTGTTTAAACCTAAACGGGTCAAAGGTTTTATAGTTATTTGTATTAATCCAATGTGTAAATACTTATAACTATTTTCTTTATGTTTTTCTATTATTTTTCTGGATAACAGTTGGAAGTTTTCCAGATTTTGTGTGACTGATAAACTTTCTTTCACTGTTTTAATTGCATATCCAAGTTTTAAATTGAATGTTCCCCTTTGATAAATATCTGAGGTAGGTACCTTGGGAATATTCCAATTTTGTATATGTTTTTCAACATCATTTATTAATAGTTCCTCCTTATTTTTTACTCTTAGAGTTTGAGTTTGAGTTATTGTTTTACCTTTAAGATTCCTAATTAAATTTGCCATCTGTAGGTTGCGGATAATGATAATCTGGATGACCAACGGTCCAGCGTGTTCCCCTAAGCGGCTCTTCCTGGCCTTGGCGGGTACTTTGCCTAGACGTCTTTCGTCTCTTGCCTGAACTCTCGGACCAACTTTCTTAGATGTAAATTTAGTTAGGTTTCTATGGTATTATTGTAACTTGTTCATTATTGTCTCTGATACCAAAACGGTTTGTACAAGCAACCATTATAGTAGCAGAAGATTATAAATTTCAAACATCAGCTTTAATAGACTTAGGAGCTGATTTAAACTATATAAATGAAGGACTTGTACCAACAAAATATTTTGATAAAACAACTCAAATCTTAAATATTGCAGATGGCAGTAGACTCTTTATCAATTATAAATTATCCAATGCTTCTGTGTATAATAATCAATAGTGTATCCAAACACCATTTATTATGGTAAAAGGACTAAGCCAAGCAGTCATTCTCGGAGTCCCATTCCATACATTGTTATATCCTTTATCCATAGACCATACATGAATAACATCTACTTACCAAAATGTTCCTATACACTTTGAATTTATTCATAAACCAAAACTGAAAGAAATTAATAATGTTAAAAGCCAATTACAAAAAAAAGAAAATTTTCTTTGCCATCTAAAGCAAGAAATTAAATATAAGCATGTAGAAGAACAATTACAAAATCCATTAATTATACAAAAAATTCAAGAACTGCAACAACAAATAGAAACTTCTATCTGTAGCGAACATCCCAATGCTTTTTGGGATAGGAAAAAACATAGTATAAGTCTTCCATATGAACCAGGATTTGATGAAAAACAAATTCCTACAAAAGCAAGACCAATTCAAATGAATACTACTTTATTAGAATTATGTAGAAAAGAAATTGCAGAACTCCAAAATAAAAAACTTATCAGACCAAGCCTATCACCATGGAGTTGTGCAGCTTTTTATGTTAATAAAAATGCTGAAAAAGAACGTGGTGTTCCTAGACTTGTTATAAATTATAAACCATTAAATAAAGTATTACAATGGATTAGATATCCAATTCCGAATAAAAAAGATTTACTAGATAGAGTAGCAAATGCTTGCGTATTTTCCAAATTTGATATGAAGTCAGGATACTATCAAATTCAAATTTAAGAAGAAGATAAATATAAAACAACATTCAACGTCTCATTTGGTCAATATGAATGGAATGTTATGCCTTTTGGATTAAAAATTGCTTCATCAGAATTCCAGAAAATAATAAATGATGTTTTCAATGCTTACTATCAATTTATGATTGTTTATATTGATGATGTTCTTATTTTTTCAGAATCAATAGAAGAACATTTTAAACATATTAATACTTTTATACATGCAGTAAAGCATGCTGGATTAATTGTATCTGCTAAAAATATTACTTTATTCAAAACTACTATTAGATTTTTAGGACACAATATTCATCAAGGAACAATTATCCCCATAGAAAGATCAATTCAATTCGCTGAGAAATATCCAGATCAAATTCTAGATAAAAAAGAACTGGTTCACCTGTTTCCTTTTTTCCATTTATTTTTGGCCCAGCCTGGCCCTGACCCTAGTCCTCTAGGTCAGGCCAAGCCTAGGCCGGTCCTATGGGAAATTTCCCAAACACGATGAACGTCGTTAGAGGTCTCAGATAGTCTCCAAAATTTTTGACACCGACAATAAGATTTGAAACCCAAAAAATGATACAGATCTTACGGATCTATGAACACTCATTTTTAGGGTGAAATGGATAGTTTCAATAATTTGTTACAATATGTACTATTTTTAGAGCTTAAAATCCTAATTATTTTTCACAACCGTAATATTTACGTTGAGATGATCGATGTAAAGGCCTTTCAATGCTTGAACTATCATTTTCGATGAGTTATGAGGTGAGGCTTTACTTATTTTGAGAGGGTTGCAGCCCTATCAAACCATATCCATTTACTTGTGGGAAGTTTATCTATCGGGATGAGGATTGTATAAGGTGTACTATTTATATTATACAAGTAAGGCACACCTTTTAATTTTATCAGAAGATGTACTTCATGTGTTAGAAATCTTATGATGACTTGAAAATCTATGTTTAATTATATTTTTGAAATTAAGTATTTTACAAATGTTAAAAATCAAACAGATCTGCAAAAACTTGAAAATCTTGATAATAGATGGTCTAGATAACTTGTACAAGATGGACCATTTTTTAGCACTTAAAAGTATTTCTTTTTTCTTATATCCTTTCAAGGTTAAGACGATCAATTGGAAGGTTTTCCAAATTCATAGCACTCTTTTCTAATGAACTGAGGTGTACTTTATTTTTATACTATAAAGGTTGCAACCTTATATAAATGTTTTCCTTATCAAAAAGCATTTAATTTGTTGGCTATTTAATATTTTATTGATTCTCAACTATTTTAGTTCATGATCACGTATAAAAATTAGATGAATGAAAAATAAATCATCATCATCAAAGATTTTTTCTAACTATTTGGGGTCAACTACACAAATCATGATTTACCATTTTGTTCTATCAATGGTCATATCCTCAATGAAGTCATAAGTCCCACTATATTTTTCTCACTACTTCCAACTATGCCATTTTGGGTCCACTTCTTGCCCTTTTTAAGCCTTCCACTTGAATTGTATGGGGTCTATACTGCACATGGCCAATCCACCTAAGTTTATTTTCTCTTATCTTATTACCCATTGGAGCCACACTTATGTTCTTCCGAATGAATTTATTACGGATTCTATCCCTTATTGTCTTGTCACCCATCCATATCATCATCCTCATTTCAACTACACCCATCCTATAGATATGTTGTTTCTTAACCGCCCAACATTCAGTTCCATTAAATCAAAGCTTGTCTTACAACTGTCTTATAGAACTTGCCTTTCAGCTTCATTGGTATGCAATGATCACATAAAACCGGTTGGGCATCATCACTTCATCTACCAAGCTCTAAGGTTATGTAGGAAAAGCTACGAAATTAAATAAAATTCAAAATAATTCAAATATTTCCATAAATTTCCCTTTATTTCTAAAGGAAAAGGCTGGCTGACTCATCTATTTATATAAGATTTATCTCATGCATTTTGGATCCAAACTTTTTAGAGGTTGACCGTATGTATACCATAATTATGACAGTACCAAAAAATATATTATTCTTTTAGGTAAATTGTAGTTGGTGGTGGGACCACCCACTTTTTAACATCCATCTTTAAGATGGATGCTAATTGCGTTCATGTAGATGTGGGAAAAGATCCTGTGCATCCAGGTGCGTATTGCTACAGTAAATGCCCATTGTCTAGATTGAATCTGAGCCGATTTGACGAACACGTATACCCAATATTTTTTAAAAAATAATTTTTTTTTACAAATCTAAATCACTTGAAATTTTACGCGTATGTTCTTAAAAAACAGGGGAATCTACGAAAAAATCAAAAAAAAGTTTACATGAAATAAATTGATCAAAATACCCCCCGAAAATCAATTATTTTTCTATAAATTATTTTTTTTATATTTTTATTAAGTGCGCCTTGGTGAGAAAAACACACGCCTAAAATTTTAAGTGATTTAGATTTGTAGAAAATTATTTAAAATTTAAAACTAACAGACATCTGTGAGCGTCAGATCGGCCACAGAATGGTCAATCTGAGGCATTCACGTATGGGCGTACAACGGTG